GCATCCGGCAGTTTCTGAGTTCTTATGACCTGTATATTGCATTTCCAACATAAAACCTTATAGTACTCAACATTTCTAGGTTCAGTAAAGAAGACATAGGGGTGGCTAGTGGACTATAATGGCTGCTTCGTCGTGAAATTACAAAACTGTGTATTTTTATGTTGTGAACAGGTTGAGACGCCGATGATGAACATGATTGCAGGGGGCGCCACTGCCAAGCCCTTCATCACGCACCATAATGAGCTGAACATGGATCTGTTTATGCGCGTGGCACCCGAGCTGTACCACAAGGTGACCTTGATAATGTGTCTGAAAACTAAACGTGCGAACGCCTGGGTTGCAATAGGAATCAATTACAATTGTCTTACCTGACTGACTTGTCTCACTATCTATCACTACACCCTCTCTGCCACTCTCTGCCTCCTTACCTCTTTCTATCCCTTGCACAGTCCAGCATTCCATCTTGTTCGTTCTGTCTCTTCCTCTGGTTCGCTTTCCTTTTCTCCGTAAATTTCTATTTCTAGCAATTCTGTGCGCACAAGTTACGAGATTTATTTTTCGGGGGCTACTTTTCAAGCTCGCGTGCATGAAAATAGCACTCTAAAATTTTGTTTGCATTGAACTGTATGCAAATTTACGGGGCTCTTTTTGGCATTTCGGGGGCTAAATCGCCCCGAGCCCCCGTGTATTTTTTTCACTGCTGCACACAGTCAAACCTGTGTACTCCAAATAAAAATGCCAGAAGTATCCTTTGTAGACAGGCGTTTGTTCTGTAGACGTGATTTCAGTATCTAACTCATGTGAAACGCCAACAGTCTCTCATCTATTGTCCGTCCATTCTGAAGAGATGTCGGCTAACTTAATTACTAAATTAGCTTTAGCTCTTTGGCAAATTAATGATGACATGACATTTTTTCGCCAAATTCAACTTTATTTCGCATTTGGCGAGTTGGCGCACGACAGCTTACACCCTGGAGATATCGGCAAACAGTGTCTCCTCTATAGATGCGCGTCCGTTCTGTAGAGATGTCTACTAACGCTGGTGCGACTGTCTCTGTGCGCAGATGCTGGTGGTTGGTGGCATTGACCGGGTCTACGAGATCGGACGGCAGTTTCCCCTCTATATACAGTCTCTTCTCTATATACAGTCTCTTCTCTATATACAGTCTCCCCTCTATATACAGTCTCTCCTCTATATACAGTCTACCCTCTATATACAGTCTCTTCTCTGTAGATGTGCGTCTGTTCTGTAGAGATGTCTGCTAACGCTGGTGCTACTGTCTCTGTGCGCAGATGCTGGTATGCTATGTCCAGCGTTATATGTTATGCTCTGCCTATGTCAAGCTCATGCTATGTTAAGCTCTGCTCTGTCACTCTACAGGCAGGCGTGCTACCGCACAGATGTCAGACTTTTTTATGTACTCCCCTGTCGTGCCTCGTTGATAAACTGCACACTGCTGGAAAGCGTGCTGGGTCGGTTGCGTTTAACGTAGGCACAGTCTGTGTGTCAATGTTGGTTACCCCTTTATCACAGCATGTACAGTTCAGAGGAGGGATTCTTCAAAATCAACAACAAGATTCGTCGAGGAGACATCATTGGATGCAAGGGTCATCCCGGTGAGTGATTGGCAGCTGTAGAATGCCCGCATTAAAATAAGTAGCTCTATCTCACTATAAGGCCAAAAACAAAATATAGGTGTGGTTACGGTTTACCGACCGACCCTATTTATTCCCAGCGACCCTAAACATTTTATTGTCAAGTAAAAAAAAAAAAAGAATTGGATGTGCGTTGTGCCTTTTGAAGCAGGAACTGCTGCTTCAAAAGGCACAACGCACATCCTTCGGACATGGTTTGTAAATAAAATATTTCAAGAAAATAAAATGTTTTCCCTACCTACCTACCTTTTTTTATTTTCGGTATGTAACGGTAACCACACATATATTTTGTTTTGGCCTAATTACCATGGAATGCCATCGCTGAATTATACTCGGTTTGTAACTAATTATTACCTTCGAGGATGTCAAGAATTAACACTCAAGGTCGTCAATCTTCGACGGGCGTTTATACTGTTGTCGTTGTGTCGTACGCGTGTAATAAACTGATCCTTGGCATTAGGTAAAACTAAGAAGGGAGAGCTGAGCGTCATGCCAAAGGACATAGTCTTGCTGACGCCGTGTCTACACATGCTGCCACATCTGCACTTTGGGCTGAAGGACAAGGTGAACAGCATCTACCTTTGGTTTCTCAGAGATGCCAACCACTACGATTTATCCGTATTTTATACGAATTTCTATTCCTTTTGCACCACTACGACCAGTTTGTATCAAACTACGAATTTCACTTTGATAGATTTTTGTTGTTGTCAATTATTGTCATTTTTTGTCAATTTATTGTCATTTTTGACCCTCAGAATGCAGGAAATTGCATCTCAGAATCAAAAAAAATTCCGGGGGCCATGCCGGACCCCCCTAGCAAACTCGGGTCACTCGAACTACTAATTTGATGGCCAGAAACTACAGATTGCTTCAAATATGTGTTGGCATCTCTGGTTTCGGGGGAACTCGTGCATATGTTGTTGTTGCTTAAGGCATGAAAGCCGGTGATGAGCATGTTACATTTAATAGCATTTCGTATAGTCACAGTATAGTACATATATTCGTAAACATATCCGTGCATATCCATGCATATTGTATGCATACATATTCGTATAGTCGTATAGCATTTCGTATAGTATACGTTATTCCACTTTTCGAGTTTTACTCATACAGCACAAACAACATCCTCTGGACATGTATAATCATGTAACAGTAATAAAAGTGCTTTCAGTGGCACCACCTGAGAGGGAGAGTTAGTTCCCAGGTAGTGACTTAGTTAGTTAGTTTCTAATGCAGGAAGCATGGCGTGGAAAGAACTGGGCAGGGTATCATAGTAGCAACTAGACAGAGGGCACTCATGGAGAGTGCATACCTCCGCCAGCGACATACTGCTGCGACACGCTGGCTTGCTGGCTTGCTGCTCGCTCGCTCGTAGCAGCCGCTCGTTGCTGCTGCTCGCTCACATGTACACGCTCGCTGGGTTGCTTCGCTGGCTGCCTTGCTGGGTCATATCGATCGACCGCCACGCTAATATCGATTGCGCGAACAGGCGAACACATGAACGCACGAGAGCGAAAACATAACCTCCTCCCAACTCCGTTGGCGGAGGTAATAATAACTCCATTTTAACATAGGATCTCTATGATTTTGAGCATACATTAGGAAATATATATCACCATTTTTTA